TACAGGAGGAATAGAAATGCAGAGAATCGACTAAGACATTCAAAGTATATTAACTATGAAGTAGTTCAGTATTTTCAGTCATATCAGCAAGTGGGCTGTGGCTCAGCTGGAAGGTAGACGACTCTCATTCGGAAGATCACTGGAAACTTTTTTGTAGTTATAAAAGCATCAGCTAAATGTAATAATTACAAAAAACTAAACAGGTACAAACAGGGCAGCACGAGGTAGGATCACAGACAGGAACATTCATAGGAACGACGATGAACCGACAAGGAACAGCAAGACTAAATACACACAAGGGTAATCACAGGACAAGACGCAGGAAGTAAGACACCAGGAGAAAATAAATGTCAAAAATAAAACAGGAAACTAAACACAAAAACTAAGATCGTGATCTGATCCCTCACCATGTCAGGACAGACTCCCTGTACGGTATGAAGACCGTTTTCTGCGTCATTGACTGTTCTGATAGGGCAGAGATGACCTTTCCAAGGGTAAGCAGGGACTTGTTGATGCTAGCACCTTCCTACAACAACAAAATAACAGAACATTTTATTTCTAAATGCAAAAAGTATAACATGCAAGGGAGATTGTGGATCAAATTGCAAACAATTTAGTCTTAATAAAATGTTGTATTTTTCAAAATCTCAATTACCTATACAACTTGAGATTAACTGTTCTATTGATTCATTCAGCCTAAGTTATTGTTTAGGTTTTTCAAAGCTCAAATAATAACAAATATTTTGAGAGTCATATGGTATTTGATTATATTATCGAAGCAAAAGCTTGAAAAAAAACACCTATAATCAATAAAGAATGATATGAAATAGAGAAAAACTTAACAATCCAGGAGCAAGAACCAATAATAACATTCTTGTGTGTGTGTGTGTGTGTGTGTGTGTGTGCGTGCATGTGTGTGTGTGTGTACCCTGAGTCGGTCTCCACTTGTCTTTGCAGAGTTACAGCGCTCGCTGCCTGCCAGGTCCACCAGGTTGATCCTGCTGGTGATGCTGTGGTCATGTTCCTCACCCTCCACAAACTCAGTCTGTACAAAGAACCCACATTCAAACTTATTTTTAGTGTCACACTTAGATTAAAAACATGACAGCCACAATTTATTAGTGCGTCACTGCAGAATTATGTACATATTTAAGAATTTGCTCGGCAACAGTCATTGTGTGCGATGTGAAAGCTTGAGAGGCCGTACCTGAGTCTGGGTCATGACCAGGGTGAGGACAGAGTGAGACCTTGAGCTCTTGTCATTCATTCCAGTGGCTGCTGTGGCTCTCTGCTTGTTTCCCAGCGCTAGCCAACCCTAAAAAGAGGAAATATGTGAATTACAACTGAATCTAAATGGTGTTACATCTACAGCATTTTTGTTTTCTATGCTAGGCCTTGGATACATAGTTGATCCTCAGCACTTCACTAAATCAGGGGCATGAACTGCACTTTCAAGAAAATGTATATTCAGTCAAACATTTAGGTCTGTATTTCATTCTGTCCTCTCAGTGTACTTAACACTGAACCCTGACTTTCTTACTTGTTCAAAGTTGTTTTTAAGAGCATCCGCTGAAGGCTGATTATATAAAAGAAGGAAATATCTTGACAGCCGTTTTAACTTACCTGAACGTCATTGTAGGAGCTCACAATGTTCCTGTAAAGAAAAAACAAAGTGAGCACTCCTGCGCATCAGACCATTCAAGAATGTTCTTTTTAGCCTTGAAGAGTAATGAAGCAAAATAAATTAAAAGGTTTCTTACGCAGAGAGGTCTGCAACGTAGGGACCATTGACTGGATGTTCCCTTACCCTCAGCTGGAAACACACATGAACAGTGTTATCATGACAGGTTATTCAGTCTTACCAATGAACATAAGACCAATTAAACAGTACGTATTAAGAATTATGAGCAAGAGTGGATGTCTAAAATGTGTGACTATCAGATGTTTCATGCTATCTTTACAGAGAAGAGCAGATACAAATAACAATAATTTTACAGTAACAGGCTATGTAGCTGTTTTTTCTGTAAATGTAGCAGGCAGTAGTTGCAAACTACTTACGGGCATCCTTCTCTGGTTTGTTTGTTCTCTTGTCACCAGCAGGTCATGGATCTTCTCATTGTAGACTTCCAAAAGGCTCATCTCTACATGGCATTTCACCTGATAACCCCAAAAACCTGATAATCAGTTGTGTAAAAAAAAAAAACTAGAAAAAAATATTTCTCATGAACACAAATGAATGTTTTAAAATGTATTTTTAAGACATTTTCTTACAAATAAAATGTTTTTAACAGGGATACAATCATTCAAATAGAGAGTTTACCTCTTCGTTTTCCATAGATGCCAATCTAGAAAACAGCTCCTGACAGAATCGTGGGATGACGCCTTCCTCCTCTCCAAAACCCATCATCCTACACAACAATGTTTTCAAATAAATGAAATGGACAATTTGACTGACAACTTTAAAAACACAAGAGAACACATTAAGAGCAACGAAATTGAGGAGAGCGTAGGGATTAGGTTTCAGTGGTGCAAGGTTGACTGTTATAAACAAAGACAAAAAATACTCACGTGTACGACTTCCCGGAGCCCGTTTGTCCGTAAGCAAACAGACAGGTGTTGAACCCTTCAAAGGCCCTCAGCAGCAGAGGTTTAGCCAGCGTCTTGTACACGGTCTGCTGGCTGGCGAAGGTGGGGTCACAGTCATCCACTGAGCAGAAGGAGAAGTCGTAGGAGAAGTTGTATCGCTGTTTGTTGCCAGGATGCTGGACAGCAGTCTCCTGACCGTTCATGAAGATGACCTGCAAGGCCTTCTCTGCCTTTTCCCTAAAACAGAGCAAAGATATTTATGAATGTTCTTTCAGAAATAGATTTTGTCTGCCAGAAAGAGTATGTTCCTGATTATTAATTAATTATATTAATATTAATTAATGATAAAAAAACATATGCCAACGTTTTTGTCATAAATGGGCGATTTGATTAGTGTCATTTGTTAATCCCCTTTATGATTCTGAAAGGGTAATACAATTCACTGTGTTTCTTGTCTAGACTTGATGTCACTGCTGGCTAAACCTACACTTAAGTTTATCATGATTAGTTAAATTAGCCAGATGACACCTTCAGAAAGCCCAGCAGTGACTTCTGGAGACCCAGACTCTAAACGCTGACAGACATGACTCCTTAACTTAGCCACCAATAGAGACAAATACTGCGTTACAAACCTGGCATTGAAAGGCCGTACACGGACAGCGACAGTCACTGCACTGTTCTCCATCTTCAATGAATCCTCGCTGGATCGGGACAGGTGCATAGTAGGTGGAGCAGGAGTAGTGGAGGTCCTGGCTTGGCTCGCGTCTCCCTTTTGGCCTGAGGTGGAGGTCTTTCTCACCTGCAGGGCGGTACTTATCTTGTGCACACCTGAAGACGCGTTCATGACCCGGGGAGCTGCCACGGGTTTTGTATTCTCCGCTTGCTGTATTCTGGATTTGGGCCTCTCTAGACTTGCAGATTTGACTGCCATAGGTTTAGGAGCGTCTGTCCCTGCCAGCTTCTCGAACACGTCTCTCCTGGCGGCAATTTTTCCAAACGGGGTCTTTTTGGTAGGTGTCTTAAACATGTGAGCTTGGTCCTCTAGTTGCCTACTTGTAGACAAATATTTGGACGGCGTCTTCCTCCCCTGGGTCTCCACAGAAGCAGCCCCTTTGCTCTTACAGGTACTTTCTCTTAAACTCGTAGACCTGAACACACCAGCTGCCCTACCGTTTGGCTCGCTGAGAACTGTTGGAGTTGTCTGTAGTCCACCGCCGCTAACCACACGCTGCACATGTGTGCTTTTACCCATGGAGGGAGTTCGGGTCCTGCGCTGCAGTGTCAGTCTCTTCTCCGGTACCGGTGTGGTGCTCTGGCTGCTTTCTAACAGCGTTGTCTCCGCTGTTTCAGACCCGGTTTTCCTTCTTGACCTCCTTTGCAGAGTGAGTCGGCCTCGGTAGGGAGTCTGCTGTCCGCTGCTGCTTTTTGAGAGGGCAGAAATGACATAAGTCCTGTTCCCTTTTCGGCTTTTATCCGAGGACCTGCTGTCTTCACACGCAGAGCTTCTGGATGTTATTTCAAGTTTGCCTTCCGTTGTCTCCGCCGATTTTCGCTGAGCCGGGCGCTCTCTGCCCGGTGTCCTAGGTGGTGCCACAAGTTGGTCATAATAGGCTGTATGCTTTCTCGCTTGTACACTAAACAACGACATGGCTGCTCAAAACACGTTCAAATAAGCTCCCCGCTTAGCTAACGTTAACGACAACTTAACACCGGTTGCTCTAGCTACCTAACGTAACAACAAAACACGACATAAAAATATGTAAGGCGGACGCAAGTACTACGGAGTGTGCTGGTTAAAATCGAATATAAATCCATTAGGATAAAAAACAAGTTGTGTTCAAGCAACTGAGCTCCATCGGTTTGTTATTGTCCACTTATCTCTTCCGCGTTCGCCCGCTTTATTTTTCAAATCGCCTCCAGAAGTGACCGCTGATTGGCTGAATTCTCTCAAGTCGTTACGTCATGTCGTGGTCACAACATGTAGGTACCTGAGGCTGACGCTGGGTGGCAGCATAATCAAGGTTATAATGTTGTGTATATGCACCACAAAGTGAAGCCGGAAAGCCTGTGTTAGGTTTCCCAATGAAAACAAATGTGCTGCTCATGTTTTCCTGTCTAAAATTAGCACTCTACCGTTAACAAAGTGACGTACTCGGGTTTAAACTAAAACATCTCAAACGATATCCGCGGTGGGAAAGGGCAGTACGTTTCAAAAGGCTCCAGATTTGATATTTTTCCTGTCAACAATTTATTTTACTCAGTGTTTGAAATGTCAAAGTAACTTATATAAAACAATACAATTTAAATAAATATACATATAGTCTGTACCTCAGTATTAAAAAAAGGCACATCAGCCTGTTTTAAATATGTGTTTTGAAGAAGATAATACCACTATTTGAATAAATTGTAGTACATAAATTACAAAAGTCATTTATTCATTGACAATTTTTTTTCTCCAAAAAACAATTTACAAAATAAACATGTAGCATTTACCAAATAAATAGACATCACCACTGGCATTACAAAAATAGACTATTTCTTGCGTCGGTCGTGTTTCCTTATGATGTCTATGAGGTTGTTCTTAGTGACCAGCGTGTTGTCAGACTCTTGCTTCGCCTTTTTTCTTTCCCTCTTCTGCTGCTCATGAAGGTAGGGGGAATTAAGGAGCTGAGGGGGCAGTGAGGACCCTGTGGCTTTGACCCGCTTCACCACCTCCAGGAACATCCGTTTATGGGTGTTGTTGAGAAAGGTGATGGCTGTTCCTCTGTGTCCCAGCCGGCCAGCCCTGCCCACCTGGATGTAAGAAATGAAGATATGTCTTGTGTTGCTCAACTTTAACTTTAAAATGCTGTAAAAAAGTTGGACCACTCATACACCTAACCACAATTCCACTCCAGTATTACTAACCTGATGGACATACTCATCCATTGTGTTTGGCATGTCAAAGTTAACCACCAATTTGACATTGGCAAGGTCGAGTCCTCTGCCTAGCACACCTGTACTGATCACAACTTCAAAGTCTCCTTCCAGAAGTCCCTGAGGATGACACAGATCAAATATTAAATTGTAAGCTACAGTATGTTAAGCCTGATCAGGATTTCAAAATGTATGACGTACATTTCACTAAAACTCAACATAGTTTTGTGGACCTCTGTAAATGATAACCATGGTGAAGAAAAAAAAAATCGGCAAAAACAATGTGTATGCTTCAGGATTTTAACAAATATAATTTTAAACTCTGGATCTATTGGTTGGTCCATCTTAAAAACAACAAAACCATAGATATGTATATTATAAATTGGCAAGATCCCAATTTTCCTTTCTCAGGAAGGATGTTAAATCCATTTAAAACAGCATCATTTTGGGACTCTTCCTTTATTTCTATTAGGAGTTGTATTTTTGTACAGCATCCTTCTGCATTCAATATTATATAATCAATCAATCAATGTTTATTTATATAGCCCAATATCAAAAATATAAAAAAAACTGTTGAGTCTGTGAAGTCTCAGCTCTAGGTGTATGTTGTCCTGCAGCTAAATGTTATTCCAGAGCAACACTCTTGGACAACAAACATAGGAGAAGTGTTATTTATCCTCTTGACAGCGCATGTTCTGGCTGCCGCTGGTCTCACCCTGAGGATGCGGTTGCGTTGCCACTGGGTCTTGTCAGAGTGGATTGCCACAGTATTGAGGCCTGTCACCTTGGCGACCGCTTCACACAGTAGATCAGCCCCCAGTTTACAGTCTACAAACACCACCACTGGAGGCTGGTACAGCTTACTGTCCTGCAAACCCACAAGGAAAAACAAAGGGGTGATGTTAGTTTATTATTAATTGTTTACTCTTTGCATTTTTATATGGATTTTTATACTATATATATTTTAACATATACGATTTGCTCATTAGGCTTCAAGGAGTGTGACATTTAAAATGTAGGGTATGTTCTTTTTAACAAACCTTTGGACAGGTTCAGAGGTTTAAGTCCTCTTGAAGATTGCAACCTTGACTCTCCAGCCAACAAAACACTTACTGCAGGACTGGCTGACATGCCTACAAATAATCTAGATAACCTGTAACTTTTCCACATTGAAAAATAACGTGTTTCTGAGCACAGGTTAGGTAAAGTGATAATGATGGTTATGACTGATTTCTATGTCATGTCGACTCTAGAGTCTCGGTTTTCCTGAGTGTACCATCCCATTTCCCTTGTAATAACCTTATGATTCTACAGTACTCCTGCTACACCACCTTCCCCTGTTCAGAGACGGCAGATTTATACTCTGAGCTGCATTCAATAACAGATGTCATAATCAGAAAAAGAAAAATCCCTATTACAACCACCCTCCACTCAGAGAACTAGCTCCTGTTACTCACACAATGCTCTAACAAAACTTTTTACCGGCTGAATCGGACCCTTCCTGTCCTGCCCTGTGTAAATGGTGCAAGCCATTGCTGGGATTCCTGGACTGGGGCCATAGCCTGAGGCCCACCCATTTCCTCCAGACAGGGGCAGGGTTGCAGAATGGCTGTCTAAATATGGTGTAGTGCGGAGGCTGGTCTTGGAGCTTTAGGAATGATCACCTTTAAACAGACCGTTTTAAAGTGTCAAGCTGGGGCTAGTTTGTATAAAGACTGAGTGATATAGCCATTATAAACATACATTTTGGTAATAATCCACTTTCCGTGTTTGTCCCTTTCAAAGCACTCTCCACCACAATAAGACTTTGTCTTACACAAGACCTAAGCAAACTGCTGACCTTTTTAATAATAGACGAGTTTCAAATGGTACTCTACCCAAAATGTTTAGATATTTTAAGATTTCCTGAGGAAAAACACTGTACCTTTTGTAGTAACTCTAAAAGCTCTAAACCTCAAGTCTTTAACCTACATTGAGAATCTCAAACAGCTTCTTCTTCTTGGAGGGTTCCTCTAACCAAAGCACGATCTGCCTCACGTTGGCACAGGGCTGGTTCTTCTCTCCAATTGCGATACGGACAGGGTCGCGAACCAATCGGGCAGCCAGCTCCTCCGTCCCTGTGGGGATGGTGGCCGAGGCCAGCAGAGTTTGGTGTTCTTCTGGGACGTGCTCCAAAACCTCCAACACCTGCTGCTGGAAACCCATCTTCAACATAGTGTCAACCTAAAGGACACACCCCAAATACAGAAGGTTGCAGGTCTTTCTCCATTTCACAATTGTATTATTTCTGTACAATTAACAGCATATAATGAAATACTTTAAAAACTATTATTAAGGAAATCCTCAATTTGTTAGCATGTTTTGGGATATGAGGCGACTTTAGTCAAAGATAGCTATCATTAAATCCTCTTGCTCATAATAACGTCCAACTCTAATAATATACTTTCTAAACGGCTGCTGTATCAACACACACACACTGGTTTTCTGGGAGATACTAAGTTTAAAGGCTTGGATGCAGAGGATTTCAAAGGCCTGCAACTTTACTGTCTTTGATGGATTTACCTTTGTGTAAAACATTTTCACTAAAGAATTAAACCTCTAGGAAATCTGAAATGCTCTGTGTTTATCATACCTCATCAACCACCACCACCTTCACCATGTCCAGCTGCACTGCCTTCTGCTTCAGGATCTCGATGAGTCGCCCTGGGGTGGCTATGATAATCTAAAGGGGAATGAGAGAAAAGAACATGATGCTGTAGGAAAGCGACAACATGTTTGGATTGAGGAAGAAGAAAGTTACTGTAAAAACAAAGAGTGTACTTTGATGCTGCTTTTGAGGCGGTGGAGTTGCTGTGGGAGGGGCATGCCGCCCACCAGCAGAGCGGTCCTCATGTTGGGGACACCAATCACCAGCTCCTTGGCCTGCCTCTCTATCTGAATGGCCAGCTCCCTGGTGGGGGTCAGGATGAGAGCCACAGGACTGCCTGCACTGTGTGCTGGCTTCTAAACAAAAAAAACAACAGCATCTTAAGCAACATATACTTATATAAACATACACACACATACATATGCAAGCCCAACAGCCATTAGCCATGAAGCAAGAAATGTTATTAAGTTATTTAAGAGAGACATTTCATGAATAGTTTAATAGTACTATTCATTTTTAGTTGTTCCCATTAAAAATAGATTAATTATTCTGGACTTAATGGCCAGCTCCCTCATTGTTATCTTGCTAAAGGACACTTCTGCTCATAGGTCAAATATCAGTCTGAATCTTTTCAGTTAAGTTTACCTTCTAACCACGCAAACAATCTGCTGTATAACAATACTGATGATAATTCCCAAAATAAAGTAGGTTCCTTTTGATTTTGTCTAAACAAAGAGATTTACTTGACCTGGACACTATATTTGTTAATGCTGGTCACTACTTATTATAATTGTAAATACTGTTTTGAACTTTTGTGAAGAATAACTTTTGTAAGTTAAGAAGAACAACAAAACAATTCTGTATTTGTTCTAAACGTAAATTAACCTGTTTCAGATATTTACAGATATGCATCACCGTATGTTTATTATGGTGATGGTGTGTAAATGTTTACATTCCTTTTAACATCAGTATGCCTAAGTGATTGATGGATTATTATAACACGATTACTGCTAGAATGTAACTATATTTGCTTTACCAAATTGTATTAATGCAATAACTCAAACAAGGCTAAGTTTATGTGGAGGCCGAGATGCGATTTAACTTACATGTTTTATCACCGTGACTTAAAATGTAAAATCTGCCGACATGTAAGGTTGAATAAGGCTGACTTCTGACATGCAGGATGCTGGTGTTTGCCAAATGTGTTTGTTTCTTCTAGATAACATATCCCTATAGAAGTTTCCTATAGATTCATTAGTCTCTTTCTCTTGGTATAAAAAGGCACTACTGTACCTCCAGTGCCCTCACTACCACTGGCAGCAGGAAGGCTACAGTCTTCCCTGATCCTGTGTCAGCACTGACGATCACATCCCTGCCGGTGAGTCCAATCGGCACCATCTGCATCTGGACCGGCGTGGGCGCCGCATACCCGGCCTTTTTCAGGTTGCCATTCAGCGTGGCAGGGAAGCCACAGTGTTCAAACTCAAGGATGGGCCTCTTGACTTCACTACCTTGGGTTTCTATGCCCAGCTCCTGTTTGATACGCTGCACCTGCTCCTCTGTTAGGCCTGATATGAACAGATCATCTTTGTAGGCATAGACTGCCTCACTTCCACCCACTCCATCAGTGTCAACCGTTGACTGTTGAGGTTGAGTCCTTTCATCTCCAATTGTGTCCTTACGGTTAAACACGTCTGCACCAGTGCCCATCCCCATTTTGAACAAATGTTTGGCTTTGCACTCAAGACTGCAAACATCATTGTCGGTACTGTCACAAATGTACTCCCCATAGCGACCACACATCACACAGACTGGCTCTCCTGGCTCAGGCCACCTCTGGCTCTTTTTAAAGGATTTGACAGGTTCCTCCTCTTCCTCTTCCTCTGTATCACTTGAGGCGGATGGGTCTTCATCCTTAAGCACTGGGCTTTCTGTCAAACAAGCTGATTCTCCACTTGCTTGTATTGTCTCATCCTGTGTTTTGGTGCCTTCACTGACTTCCTCCTTCTGAACTGGTGTCGCTGAACTTCCTTCATCTTTTCTCTCCTCCTGAGATACCTTGCTTTTTTTATTCAAAACTGGGCCTGAGACCTGGGCAGGTCTCTTTACTTTTAGGGCTCTTGGCATGAACATTTGTCCGAATTGTTAACCTGCAAAACATCAAGAAACATAAATGTCAAGGGTTTCAAGGTCAGAGTTAAGATTTGTATAGAACATAAATACATACCGACTAAAAGTCATATTCCCAAAGGTACACATGTTCGTTTAGTAACAAAATAACAGTAGGCTATCACAAACACCAGTTTAACAGCAACTCTTGGCTTCTACTCTTAACTAGTCAAAATGAAGTCATATGTTCGTGTATTTGGTCAAATCATTTGTCAAACCACACTTCGACCTGACTCATAAATGATGGGAAGTATACGCTGAATGTTTAATACAATAAAAGCATTACGTTACACATACCTTCTTCCAACGCGTTATTTTCCAGCGATTCAAAACAATCACTGACGACGCAGACCAATGACGTGTGTTGCTTTGCATGTTGGGAAATGTGGTTCGTGGAACATCGCCCTTTTACTCTCCCTTCTGTTGTTAACAGACCTTGTTGGTGGTTTTTTATTCAATCGTAAACATATTTTACCTTACTGTAAACCTTTATTGACATTCGTGGTCTTCTATCATGTATAATGAGTTTATGTATAACATGGAGTGGCTGGGTAATTAAACCGGGTTGTCAAGGTAATTAAACTGCTGGAAAAAGTATAGAGCAGTAGTCAGTAACTTGAAAGGAGGTCTTTCTGTCAAGTTAAAAATAATAAGGTATTATGTAAATACATTGTTTTCGTTTTATTGGTCAAATTGTAGGCATGGTCAGGGCATGGTGTCCTTTTTCATGTTACATTCAAATGCTCATTGAACACTTTACAGTTCGACCAAAGATGTAAAGGAGTGCTCTATATCCTGGAGTAAGGGCTTGTAATTAAAATATTTGAATAAGCCGGCTGTGATTTGGTATATAATTGCAGTCTCAACAATACACGGATTTATTTCTATGATGGGAAATGACAATACAAGGCCAAAACAACAAACCACAACAAAACAAAGTGTTAACATTCCCCACAGCACTGAATGCACCGTCCGCGCATGCGTATTGTGGAACAAAGGTGCTGTGCTCGGAGTGCCACAGTGCGGCAGGAAAACCGCACCACGGCACCAAGAACAGAATAGAGGAGAGAATGCCAAACACATAGGCAATTCATAAAAAAATACATGGACATAAAAGGGAGAAGGCGTCTGCTTTCACAGAACCCAAAGAATGGAAATATTTGTGTTTCCATTCTAGCTGAAGAGCTATTTTTCCTCTGAAACCCAAGGAAACCTTCGCTGCTTGGTCCGACGAAGCCCATTTCATCTGGTAGACAGCAGTATGGATGAAAAACACCAAGACTAGCCGATCATTGTGTCAACGAAACCGAATAAGAAGAAAAAATCCCAGCAAAAGTCCAATTGTATCACTTAAAGAACCCGTGAATACTCGGAGGAAAGACGCTGTATGTCATCATTTTACAGCCGTTAATTGTTTTTTCAAGAAATTCCAGTGGTGGGATGCCTTCGCGTTGTGTTGCCTCGTAGGATTCAACAATACAGTTCAGGGAGAAATATGGGTGAAGTGCAGGACGCCAGGGATGTTAAGAAGACCTTTGTTGCTCCAGCAGTAAAGTCTTTTGAGCACTATGACTTCCCCCGGGCAAAAATCTGTTGCAGCCTCACATGGCTGGTGGCCAAAGCGTACGGGACAGGTAGGTTCACAACTGTATAGTCAAATACCTGCATGCTGTATGAGTAGTTTGTTTTTCAATGCATGTTTATAAATAATTGAATTACCTACTAAAGGCCAGAACCTAACGCAGTACGTGTAAAATATGCCAATAAAAACAACAACACATACAAAACATTACCTGCTCAGACTACACTGCAGAGACACCTAGACAACAGTTATTGACAATAGACTTATCATTGATAAGGCTACACCAGTATTCTGATCAGCTTGTCGAAATATCACATGGATTTTACCTGTTTGGTCCATGGACAATATCGGGTTGTGTTGCCCATTGCGGACCCTCTTAAATGAATAGCCTATTGGAAAGACAATAAATAGTATCCCAAGAGGAGATAAAACCAGTTGCCTGTACTAGTGATCATAAATGTGTTGTCCTACTTAATGAAAAGGGAATATTCAGTGTGGAACTTGGAGCTAGGAAGGTGTCCCATATTATGTCACCTTCAGGGAACAGCATCCACATTTAGAAAGAGATGCATCACATGAGATTGCTTTCATACATTGTGAACAGTAATTTGGGGCAAATGGAAAGGTTCAGGTTTTTTCGTAATAGACCTATTTCATGTTTATCTTGCCTCATTGATATCACTTTCTTGATTCTGATATATTACACGATATTATAGATTTACCTTAGTATCTTATCAAAGGTCCAAATAGGGTTTGCAATGTAAAGGTAGTCAGAAGTGGGTTTCTTTTTACTCATTTAAAAAACCTGCTCTTATAAGATACGATAATATAATAAGATAATCAATATTAATGCAGAGGTGTATCCATATAGCCTGGCTCTATTCCTTTTGAATTGCCAGCCAACATTGCAGTGAAAACAAAATGGCAATTCAGTCTGATTATCTGGTCTGTATGGATAATACATAGCTAGAGAGGAGGGTTGTTACATGGGGTCTCAGAGGCTCCCCTCACTGTTGCAATACTAGGATTCAAAATTGATTTTAAAGGGGTGTTTTAGTGCTGTGGTTGTTTACCTGAGATGGTAGCTTTTGTTTCTCCACATCTGGTTACTTTTGTTAGACTATACTGCAAAGCTGATGCTGAGAAACCGCTCAAAATATGTTAAACTCAAAATAATGAAAAATGCAAATGGATGTACTTTCACATGAAGTCTTTTTTCAATTGAACATGTAAAATGTGTCCATCTTGTACCACAGATTGATGTGCTCTTTCATAATTTCCAAAGGTGTATTGTGCAACAAAGCCTATATCTCTTATCACCCTCTGTTGTCCAGCAATTGGAATTACAACAACATGAGTTAACAGTATCAGCAACTTGTCTCTTTCCACATCCATCAACCCCTCTTGTTTCATTGTGAGCTTCAGCGAAAATGGTATGATCCCAACACCCATAACACAAGTCACATGTTACCAATACAAGCAGAAGGGATTTAAACGACATACTTCAGAAATAGGTTCATCAGCCTTCAGAGTAGAACAATGCAAGGCTTTTATTGTCATTTGTACATAGCTACAGTGTAGTTATGACGATGAAAATCTTAGGTCACAGGCTCCTCCAACAGTGCAACACAATAAAACAGATACAATAGTGCAATTAAATACAAATAAAATAGAATATAATAGAAATAGTGCAAGAATAGTCTATATACAAGTTGCAAACAGATGAATGTTATGGATGTTCTTTCAAAAGTGCAGGTGTTTAACAGTCTTATGGCCTGTGGAAATGGGCCTAATGGTGTCATCAGCAAATCATATTGAGCAGCTAAACATGCACAACACATTTTGAAATACCATTAAGTGTGCTGTTACTGTCCGCGGGAAGTCTCTTAAAAGTCAAGTGAAATACCCAACTGCACTTGACATTTATGTTATGCTTGGTGCCTGAGCCAAGGCTGATTGATAGGATGCCATCAGGGAATATAGAAGTACCTAACCATGCAAAGCCCTAAAGCTATAGGCATAATTAAGGATTTATTGCATGGCCCCTGCCTGATCACATGTTCAAGTCACTCAAACGTTTGTCCTACCACTGATGCATTTTCTTTGTTCGTATTAGGAGCGTGTTTGAAAAGATGCCTGAATTTCACATTATGAAGAAGCATCTGAAAGAGAAAACTACTACTGACTGAATGCTCCAATTCTGAATTTCCCAGGACTGATGGTGACTTATTTTAAGTAGCAGCTTGGGCTAAAACGAGTTCTTGCTCTATTGGCTTTCACTGAAGTGGAACGGATTTTGGTCTAAATATGAATCCTGAGGCTTTGTGAGAGGTTGTGAGTGGATCGAGCGGCTCAGTGTGTGCACTTCTCCAAATGTAAACCCCACACAATTCAGGGTGTACGTTTGACCTTAGAAATATGCTGTGCTTGTTCATATGTTGGTATCAGATTTTGCTTTGACAATATGAGTGCAAACAGAACACACTGTCTTCATATTCTTCTTCTCTATTTCTGTCCCCTCTATTCAACTATTTCATATCATTGTGGTTATTAATCACCAGCTTAATCTTCATATGGGCTGTAACAGATTTGCCATAAATACAAACAAGTGGTATTCTGCTACTGTAGCCACCAAGCACATTATTCCTTGCTCTGTATTGTGAAAGCCCTCTAAACACGAGATTCCTTGCAGATCCTCTGTGTATCCTCTGTCAGAACTGAATGAAATGGGTTGATTCCCAAAATACAACTCTCCAGAGAGAGAGGGAGGGAAAGAGGGAGGGAGGGAGAGTGCAAGGAATAGAGAGAGCAGGCTCATCTCCAGATCCCTGCCTACGCTGCTCTGAATACTTCTCATGCATCTGCCTCATTACACCAATGCAGAAGGGCATCAGGAAGAGATGTTCTTCAGCAGATCATCTTCTGTATGAAAATACGATCAAGCTCAAACCGATTCCACTGAATGTGCAATACAGCTCATGTTAAGAGCTCAGAGGAGATTCACTGTGACCAAAGGCTTTCCTGTTTGAATGCTGCGTGATGTGTTGGAGCAAAATGAGTAACTGTAATTCTTTCAACATTCCCCAAACAAGTACTTAACAGATTCCGTTCTTCAATACATTAAACCATTGCGTATTGAGTTTGCTGTGTGCAATTGATGGAACACTGCTCTTGTAGTGATTTAATTAAAGTAATTAGAGTAATGTGATTTTCAGCTCAGTGAACTGGGCCACACACACAAACATTCCTCACAGTGAAGCCTTCTTTAAACGTCAGGTATTGTACAGTTACGACATGAACTTAGGCCAGAAAATATTTGAGGGCACAAGAAAAGCCTTTATGTTGAAAAATAAAATGCAATTTGTAAAACTCCTGAGCAATA